AGGTTCCTTAGATCATGGCTGCTTTAGCTGCCTAAGAGAGATGGATATGTTTAGGCCTGGATTTTATTTTGGCCTGACCTGTGCTTGTATTTGGTGCTTTGCTGAAGCTGGGAGTTGTGGTTAGTATTGGTCAAAGCCTCAGGCAATCCTGAATGCTGCATCATGAAACCCTGGGGTCTTTGGCCGAAATGATGGTCTGGAGACTGATCTGGATACTTGTAGTGTCCTGGGATATTCGGGCATGACTATGGGGTATAGAGGGAGTATCACTTAGTCCAGGACGTCCTGCTGTGCTGTTAGTCCCAGCACAGGGCTCTCTGTCTGATGCTGGCTGCCTGCTGGAAAGCCTGCCTGGCTTTCCTGGGGCTCTGCACAGGAAAGCAATGGTTTTCCATGCAGGAGTCTGTCTAAAAGGTCTGCTGTGGCAGGGTGGTTCAGTGTGCCAGGAGGGGATGTGGGATCAGGACTCTTGCTGTACTGGGAGATGGCACTTCTGGGATCCTGTTGGACCTGCTTGTCTGATTGTCTGTCTGAATTATGGATGTGTCAAAAGTGCCACCACAAACCCACCACCCTCCAAACTATACTGTGTCCTGTGTGTTTCTCCCAGGAAAGGTGCAGAGGCTCCACAATGGCTTCTTGCTGACAGCCACAGGTGGATCTACAGCCTAATTTAATGTAAAGATGAGTACAAGTAAGGCACTGTCACACTCTCCCATTAATCTGATGCTTCACTGATACCTTGACCAGTGAGAATGAGCAGGCAGGAGGCCAGGTCCTTGGAATTACCTGAGCTGAGCAAAATAATCTGCTGCAAAGTTTAAAGGCAGAACTTGTGCCCTGATACCTGAGGTAGAGCCCTTTTTAATTTTGTGTAATTCTGAATGCATAAGACATGGATTAACTGCAAACTGTGGCCAGCCTGATTCCTTGAAAATCTCTCCCAGACTTCCACCTGAGTTCACTGCTTCCTGTAACAGTGGCCAACAGTTGGTCATTTGTCTTGCTTTGGCATGAGATCCTGCTATGTTACCATGGGACTGATTTGAAATTGCATTGAGGGTTTGCAGAACAGTAGTGTCAGGAGCACAGCCCTTTTTGGAGGGGACCCCAACAGGCTTCAGAAGGCCCCTGCTCGGTTCCGAGGGTAGCTCCTGCAAACTAGGAGCAGCGTGCGAGAAGGTTCCACTGCACATCTGGCTGCAGCTCACCCAGAGGGCTGACACAGTGCGCTGCTGGCCAGCTGTTGTGGGCCAGGGGCTTGCAAGGGATCACAGCGAGCAGCAGCTTTTCAGGCGGCACAGACCAGCGCTCAAAAGCCAGATCCCTGCATCTGCTCGGGTGGTGTAAGAGCTTCCCTAATCACTTCTGTGCAATCCACATCAAAGAGGTGCAGCATAAGGACTGACCCAGATTCTCTGCTTCTGGATGCCTTTTGATGGTGGTGGATTCACTGCTGGACCATCTCTATTGGCCTCCATAGACTCTTAAGGCTAATTGCTTGTAGGGATTGTCTTTAATCTTTTGACACTGTAGTCCAAGCATTCTTGCCTCTCTACATTGGCAAATTAGGTTATTAGCTCTTAATACCTCAAAAGCTAGACCTTCTGTGCCAGAGGGTAACAGAGAAACAAGATTAGGGAGACTGCTTCCAAAGCCTAGGATTTCCCAGCAGTATTAGTAGCTGATCAGCGCTTGAGAATGTCAAGCAAAGAACTGGCCATGAGATGAGGAAAACCCTCAAAACAACTCAGAGTGAAGAAGATCCCTGAAGAGCATGAATGTGATTACATGCTTCCCCTGGAAGTTTAGCAGCCAGAATACTCAGGAATGCACATGCCTCTGGACTCCTGCAGCAGGAGCACAGATATCCTTGCTGAGGGAGCAGCAGCCCTGTTCTGCCACATGTGCTTTGTCTTGGGCCCATTGCTGCTGTGGGCAGAGCAGGCTGGAAAACAGTCAGCTGGGTGGCCTCTGGTTATGGATATCTCCTGGATGGGAGAAGAGCTTCCATGCTCCTAAGAGCAGAGAAACAATTTGGATGAGCAGTGGAGAGAAGGGTCAGTTTTACAGAGGATAAAAGGTGAAGTCCTAGGATGAGACGTGGGGCATATTGCCACTGAGGTTCTGGTTGCCCTGAGCCAACTTCAGTGCTACAGGAAGCAGACACCAGTGTCTGATTTCAGGGGAGATTTTCCCTCTGGTGGCTGATCTCCGCATGTGTGCTAAGTGGAGGAGGTCGTGTGTGCTGCATAGTGCCACAGTTTTAGTGGTTACAAGCCTCAGAAATCAAGCTAGAACTGAGAAAATCTTGATTTTTCTGCTCTTCAGCCCATCAAAAGGGAAGTAAGCATTCTGAGTAGTAAATTTTATATGTAGGATTTTGCAGGGTGAAAGTTTTCCTGTGAGAAACCAGGTAGCTATTATGGGTAAGTTTACCCTTAGGAGTGATGCTGCAGCATGCAGGGGAGCAGGCTCAGTGTGTCTTGTGTGGAGCCATCAAGGGATGCTCTCATTCAAGCCTTGACTTCAGAGCTTTTCTTTTCAACTCAGGTGAACTGAGTTCAGTCACCACTAAGTGGTCAAGGGACAGCTAAGAGGCACTTGTCTGGTGTTTGGATTTCGGGTACTCACTTCAAAAGGAGGAATTGTCATCACACTGACAATCAGTGGCTCTGCAGATGCCTCCTTATGCTCAGCTCCCACAAGACCAGCTCACTGCTGGATTACAATATGACAGTATTACTGATTTAAAACTCCAATTTGATAATGTTTTAACCCAAGCTGATTGCGTCCCTGTTTTCTATCTTGCTGAGCTGTAGTTTCAGTGTTTTCCAGCATGTTAAGATTTATGTGGAGTCATTGGTGGCTGCAAGGCACAATTTAGACCTTCAGGAGCTTGGTAGTTCTGCCTCAGGACGTGGTTCTGACCAGCAGGCCGAGCACTGCCATTACTCTCAGTACTCATGAGCTCCTTTCACCCTTGGTGCACAGTTGCCTTATGTGCGTGGCTTCCCTGTATCGCATGGATCAAATGGTTGAGAAACTTCAGCTAGATGACTTGGGCCCTAAAGACATCTGAGATTTAACTGCCTGACAGTTATTGCATCAGGGAGACCCACTCTGATGTCTGTGAAATGTGAGCAGCCTGTACAGGTGCCAGGCCTGAGCACGTTCCCCTACAATCCGACCCGGAATCAGTACAAGAGTCCTCGTGATTCCCACAAGATCTTGGTCTACCAGTTCTGTGCAGTGGGTCCCTGCTAGAAAGCTGCACTTAGGCATCTGGATCTTACTGTGCTCGTTCAGGTGTCTGAAGAAAATTCCTTGGGAAAATATTATCCTGCACCTTCAAAATCCTTTGATATTGTAGAATATCAAAGAACCGGAGAAAGACTACCTTGATTCCTTGTGGCCAGGCACGTTCCTTTCACAGATGTGGTGACACCCCTTAGGCCAGGGACAGCGCTTATGAGCCAGAGCCTTTTCCTGTGAGGGCTGTCCTTTGCTTCAGTAATGTGACTTCTGTGTGCAGAGCTGAAGTTTGCAGCTGTAAAATACCCACCAGCATGCATCCATGCTGAAGCAAGTGCAGAGGACCTTAAGCAGCATCCTGAAAGCTGAGTGAAATGATGTCCAATTGTTCCATAAACTTTCTTGCAAAATTTGCTCAATCAGAATGAAGGGGCACACTGATGTAAAATGTGAGATTTAACTGAGGATCTCTGAATAGAATTATGAACCCAGCTCCATGTTCCTACATTTGGAAATTTCCATCAGAAAGCATCTCCATTCATCTATGTCTGTGAGCCTTGAAATGTATTGTCAGCTGGTAGAAATCTGGTTTGATCCAAGGGCTTTAAAAGCCTGCTTTTTTGCTTCATGTAGAAGTTTCTAACTTGTAAATGGTTGCATAAAGAGACTTTACACTGGGCATAAATTATATCAATTTTTTAGAAAACCATGTTACTAAGAGACTGTAGAGATAATGGTCAGTGTCTTTTTACAGCATTTGTTTCATTTGCAGTTTTGGAAAATTCCAATATTTTAAGAATTATTATGAAGAGAAATTTGGAAAACTATTTTTGCTGACACTGAAATAGAACTGAAAATGGTGTTACTGTTCATGTGAATGAATTCATGCACAAGCATGACTGGAGGGTACAGTCATGCAATTAAAGTATATGTTCAGATCCAAATCAGTGTAAATGAACCATCTCCCATCTTCCTCCTTCAGCTTTACACCTTTGAAGGATGTGATCCAGAGTGTTTGAAATGCTCTCCAGAACTAGGAAATACAGATCTGAGGAGAAGCTTCTACTGAGGGGACTTCCTAGAGCTGCAAAAAATAGAATCATATTGAAGATGTTACCTCCACATGACTGCTTTTAATCTGTCCTTTTGAATACTATTGATGAAATTAAAGATTAACTCATTCACTGGTATTTTCTTCTGAGATCTGAGTTGCAGGCTCGTGCAGCCTGCAGTGAGAATTCTTCCTCATTTCTGTAGCTTTGGAAGGTGTCAAGTGACATGAACTGCACAATGATCCTTTTTTTTTCTCCATTGCATACAAATTCCTGGTTTTTGTTTGTAACACTTTGCTGGAGTGTTGACTTGAGTGTTTGTCCCAAAACCTGTGTAGATGCACACAGAGCTGTAGTAATGCTCATCAGTGTGGTCCTGCTGGTAAAGCGAAAGCCTGAGCCCCTCCCTTCCTGTAAAGCAGCAGCCCTCACAGACTGCGTGGGGACACACAGCCTGACGTGGGGGACAGCTGAGTCTGCAGGCACTTTTATGTGATGGTTCCTGTCTCCCTTGCAGCTGTTCCCCCAGCAGCTACAGAAAGTGTTTCCTTTCTTAGGCCTCTTCCTCGAGTTCGCAGCATGCTTGGGGACAGCTCCCGCAGAGTGACAGGCAGAACCAGGGCACATACTGCTGGTGTGGCAGTCGTGCTGGCGAGAGCCTAGCTGACACCCTCTCTTTGCCTGTTTCCCCAGGTTGTTGCACTGTCGTCATGGAGTCTCTTGAGAGATTCAATCTACTACACGCTCTCTGTTGTTGCACTCATTGTGGTAAGTTTCTGAAGGTTTTTCATCTGTTGGAGCCCATGTCTACTGCCATCTCTAAAGGGAACCTGCCATGGCATAACAGTTGTGTAGCTGAGATCTCAGCTCAAGCACTCACGTGGGTTTCTTCTTGTGGAAAACTGCTTGTAATCTCCCTGGCTCTGCTGGGAAGCTTGGTCCAAGGGCAGGAGATAGAGGAGTGTCTAGAGACCCCAGAGGGATAGCTGGGGCAGGGCATGGTGGCCCAGTGCAGATATGGGGTGCCAAGCTAAACCCACGTTTTGAGCCTCCAGGCAGCCCTGCAGTGGGTGGGTCAGTGCTCTCCTAGCAGTAGCCTTCATGACTTCCTGAAATACAGATCACTAACCTGTAAGGAGGCAGCACTTGTGCCCAGAGGAGAGAGATCCTGAACAGCTACGACAAAACATGCAGGTTAGTTTTTCCACACATAATAGGGGCAGGTTAAGTGCACGCTGACAGGAAGTCCTCAAACAAAAACTACAGTTTCAGCAGTTCTTAGTGCTGTGCCTACCCTGATTTCCATCAAACTCAGAAAATGCTCCACATCTCTCAGAATTGGGCTATTCCATGTAAAAAAGTTGTCACAAGAGTTAACTGCTGTCATTTTAGCATTACCTTTGCAACCAATACCAAACAGTGCCAGAAAATGTAAAAATTGAGTTTTCAGGTAGCAATTGCACGTTTTTACCCCCCCCCCCCCCCCCCCCCCGCCCCTAGCCTAGTACCCTAGATTCCCAAAGACAGGAAGAGTGATTTTGGGAGGTTAACGTCCCTATGTCAGCAAAAAGGGGACTTCAGAGTCAGAAGAGGGTCGCTTGCAGTCTGGGTTCCTTTGGTTACTGTGTTTCAACAGTGGGTTTTGGTTTGTTTCCTGCTGCACAAGCCTGTGTTTCCAGATATACTCTGTAGCTGCGAAGCCCTCTGTCTTATCCCAAACAGGGGATTTTTCTCAGCCTGTTTGTACTTTAATTGCCCATACAGCAAGACCAGCTATTTTGTACCTGGTGAAAAATTACTTTTCTACATAATTACTAGCAATGAGCTCCAAAACGAAAAGCTTTTTTATGTTTGTTTGTTTTGTTTTGACAGCTTGACAGTAACTTCATACCAAAAAGTGTTGCTAAACAGCAAACAGAGCCACGCATACTAATTGTAGTGAATTCCACTGCCCAAGCTTAAAGGCAACCAGCAGGCATTGTCTTAGTTCACTCCACAGGAAGCACACATATGGGCATCTGCCTGGCATCTGGCTTCCTGGTGATTGGATTGCACATTTCATTTATTGCATTGAGGCAGGCAAGTTGAAAATCTGTTGATTCTGTCATCAGTTTTAAATTCTTTAAGCAAGATGGGTTTTTTTAATGGCTGGTTCATTCCTGTGGTTGTCATTCCTGGTGCTTGGATTGCACATTTCATTTATTGCATGGAGGCAGACAAGTTGAAAATCTGTTGATTCTGTCATCAGTTTAAAATTTTTTAAGCAAGATGGGTTTTTTTTTCATGGCTGGTTCATTCCTCTGGTTGTCAGCAGCATCAGGATGTGGGGGAAAATTCTCTACTCTTGTGTCCAGTGCACCCCTGAAATTCCTATCTACTATTCCTGTATCATGAGCAAGTTGTGTGGCTTGCAGAACAGACATCTCTGTTACCCCTAAGACTTCTCTCCTATACTTTATTTCTGTGTAAGCTGTTCTTTGTAATTACAGAACTGCTGGAGTCCTTTTCTTTTGGGAGTGTACCCCATAATACCAGTACATGGTTATTTTTTCCCTAAGCCATGAGTTAGCTTCTCTCTAGATGTATGCCCACTCTTCTACTCATCAGTGGTGGAGTTCAAGACCCTCCAGGCAGCCAGGGTAGCAGGATGGTGACACTCCAGGCATTAGTGGAGGTTTGAAGGCATTGCCAGAATTTTTATTCTCGTGTTACAGCACTATCTTCTAATTTGGCTTGGGAGAGGTGGAGCACATCCCAGGTCTTTCAGTATTACTCCATAACAATCATTGCAAATGATTTAGACACCTATTAGAGAAAAGCAGAGAAAGATGACAGGGAAAACATTTTAAGCATTTAGCTTCCTGCTAGCTGATGTACCAACCCTTTTGTATGCAATATTGCTTCCCAGTTGCTAGCACACAAAATTTCTCCTTTCAGAGTCAAACACTGCTTCAGTTTAACAAGTTTCTCCTTGCGTTCACTTACCCAGGAACCTCTGCATTCCCAGTGTCTCTAATTTTTCCTTTCCTTTTAAGATAGAATCAAATTAAGGTGGCAGGACCTCAATTGTTCCTCAAACTCTGACTCTCTAGTCCCCCATGGCTTAGGTGGGAGATGAGCCACGGGCTGTGTGCAGAGCATAGTGTAACCTGCTTGTGGTTCCTCCTTCATCAGATTTGTGTGTTCCTTTTAGAAGACGCTTCAGTTCTTTGTATGCAGGGATAATTTTTCTATAAGAGGGCATTGAGACTTCTCTGCAGCTGGTATAGTGTCATCAATCTTGAAGAATTATATTTTTTGTAGAAGTTTGTTCTCATGGTGTTTTAAACAACAGCCTGTGGTGCTGTGTTAAAAATTGCACTCCACTGGTATCTTTACTAATCCTGAGTACACCTGAGGGGAAATAAATACATTCCTTCCAAGGCTGAGATATAGCAACTTTAAAAAGCTTGATATTTTGCTGGGTAAATCAATATGACTTTGTCTCCATTTGCATTACAAAAGGAAATACAATGCTGTTGTAATAAATCGAGCAGTATAGACTCACCTGTTTGCTGTTCCAGGCCATTTGATGAGAGAGAGTGAACTCTAAACAACAGAGGTTAGAAGTGGATATAAAACACATTTACCATACTTAATTCATCTTGACTCAGCCCTGTGATTTTTTTAACTTTAGAATAATATTACAATGCTACTTTGTCTTCTAGTAGAGTTTGGCAAAACTTACTCCTTATTCCCTTGAAAGGAAAAAGATGCCTGTGTATCTTAATATGAAGGGACATGGTCAGAGTCATTAGAGGCAAAATTGAGATGGGTGCTATTTTTAGTCACAGAAGTCAATACACATGCTATCACGTGCCATCACACCAAAACATTGTAACCTAAAACAGGCCTTGTCATATTAGACTGGGAACTGTAATTTATAACGTTTTGTGGTCAGGTTTTCTTCTAGTAACCAGTGTAACTCTTACCTCATGTGGCTGTCACACAGGAGTTGCTATTTACAGCTGTAAGGCCAAGGGGAAGTGTTCACTGTGCTTTCAGGGCCTCGTTCCTTTTCCCTCCTGTTTCCCTGGGGTACAGCCATGGATCTGTAATCCCTGGTGCAGGCATGCATTTGCCTGCTGGTGCTTTGGAAGGGCTGAATGGACCACAACCTGTCATTGAGGCCACGAGGGCTGTGTGCGATTCCAGCTCCAGCTTCTCTGCAGCCATCCTGCTGTGGTGGGAGGAGAACTGAAGGCACAGGAGTAGCAGGGCTGGTGGAGCACAGCAAGGGGAAGGGCCTGGTCATGGAGCATGTCAGCCACTGCCCCTGTGAGCCTTCAGACATCGCCAGTGTGAGCCTTCAGCCACTGCCAATGCAGCCCTTCAGCCACTGCCAGTGCAGACCCTTCCCTCACCCCTTGCCACGGTGCTGCTGCTTCCTTCACAACTCTCACCATGGTGCTAGTTCTCCTTTGACACCCCTTACCTAGGTGCTGGTCCTTCCCTCAGCGGAGAGGTGCATTCCTTGCCTGAGGAGGCTGCGCAGCACTGTTGGGGAAGCCACAGTGCCTGTGCCTCAGCAGGTATGCCAAAGGGTCTGTCAGTAGCTACAGTCAGCTGGGGTGGTGATCAACCTCAGCTGATGGGAACAGCTTCCTGGGCCCAGCAGGATGTGGCAGCAGCTGCAGAGCTTGCTGTGGATCACCACTGCTTTCCCTCTAACAGCTGCACAAGAATCTAGTGGCATTTGGGAAAGGAGTACCTGCTAGCTTTGACTAGTGAGAGAAACTAAGGGTTAAGAAGTTCAAAGGCTGGGCAGGAGAACAGTGCCAAAATACACCCGAGCTTAATGCCATTGCCATGATCCCTGGCTTGCTTTACTCTGTCCTCTGCCTCAGGTGATGTGCTGTTTTCAACCGTGGTTTTGTGTATAACATGCTATTTTAAAATCTTTTCTCCACAGTTTATTTATGATGAAAGAGTTTCCTGGTAAGTGAATCCCTTTTATTTTCATTTTTTCTGGTTATACCACAAAAGCTGCCACAATTAGTGTTTATGAGAAGGAGAAAGCTAAAAAGCTCTGCAGGGCAGCTTTTTGCTGCTGTGTGAGAAACATCAGCACAAGACAGGCTAGAGTAACTAATTTTTTGAGCTAGAGAAGAAAGCCCAGGAAAATCAGACTGTTCCTAGTACAGTGGCAGTAGTCAGTGCCCTGTGTATGCAGTCTTGGGATGACAGTGTGATCAGCAGAGCTGTGGATGTGCAAGAAGGAGACACCCAAGCAGACATAAATAAGTGTTTAGTTGGATTTTTCATAATTTAATGAATGACCAGTTAAAATAATTTAAAAGAATATCCCTATTAATGTGTTAAAGTGCAGTGCAGTAGGTAGGGTAGTCTAGGAGGGCTGCAGATACTTTTCAGTTGCTTTGGTCTCATGGTTTTGTTTCTGGCACATACCAGAGGTGATGTGGTGACATCTGGAGGTGACAGTGGAGGTGACAGCGTTGGCTTTGGTGTCACTCCCAGCTGGTGTCATTTGGATTACAAGCACTAGGGAGCGACAAGCTGCTTGGGCTGGTGTTTTCCCTCATTGACTTTTTTTGTTTGTTTTTTTTTTTTTAACTGAAATTCACTTGAAGGCCAGTTGTATTTAGCTGTGGTATTAAAAAAAAAAAAACCAAAAAAACCCCCAAACACATACAGAAGCTGAGGTTTGAATCTTCAGAAACAAGGAACGAGACATTTATATAGTTAGTGCAATATCTCAAGATCCTTGTGGAGAAAATGTTCCATGAGTTTAGCATACAGTAGTTTGATAATGGATGATTTCCACAAGGACTAGCAGTTTGCCATGGTGAACTAAGAAGAATACAGTATTTTGGACAGTGAAAGAGATCACCTAGAAACAAACTTTAAAAGTCATATTGTAATTTGTTTTCATACAAATTTCATTATTCCATTAGTTTGACACAGAAACAGCAGAGGGAAAAAACCTGTCAGTATCTAATCAGCAGTTTGAACTGCTGCCTGCTGCATTCTCAGCACTCATGCAGCAGCAGTAGCAGCAGACCAGCTGCCCCTTGCTCAGGTTGCCTCAGCACAATTGGCTTTACAAAGCCCAGTATCCTGCTCTACACTCCTGCAGGCAGAGCAGAGTGGCTGCTCCCCTCCTTTGGCCACATCCCATGGTTATTGTCCTTATGGAAGTATTGGTGATCCTTGGGTGTGCAATTTGCTCACTGAACTCCTGGATTTTGTCACTTGTTCTTAGATGACAGGTCAGTTTGGCTGAGTAAAATCACAGAAGTCAAGAAAACAAAGGAGGCATCATGCATGGATGTGTGAGCCATTTCTTTGTGCATCCTTTTTTTATAGAGGAATGTTAAGGCAGCACAGGAGGGTCAAGCCTTTCTGCACACTTGTGGTGTGTCAGATGGGGGAGTGGCTGAACAGGGGCCGCTGATGCTATGCCCTGCTCTGATGTGTTTGTGTTGCTCTTGTTTCCAGGTGGGAGTCCTTAGTCTTAGTGCTGATGTATGTCATCTACATCTTTATAATGAAGTAAGTCAAATCTGTCCTCAGCTTATCTAAATTCTAAGGCTCCTTGCTCTCCTTGCCTCACCTACCCCTTATAACAAGAAGAAATAGCCTCTAGTTCTGCCAGAGGAGGTTTAGCTTGGCTATTAGGGAAAATTTCTTACCAAAAGGATTGTCAGGTACAGGAACAGACTGCCCAGGCCAGTGGTGGAATGACTATCCCTGAATGGGTTTAAAAGAGTGTAAAATGGTGCTTAAGGACATGGCTTAGCAGTGTGCTTGGCAGTGCTGAATTAACATTGGACTTGATGATTGTGGAGGTTTTTTCCAACTTAGACTGTCCTGTGAATCTGTGCTTTACGGGTCTTGTCCTGTGTGAACTGACCAAGGCTAATGCAGCAAACCTGTGGCAGAAACCTGGATCTATCCTCAGGTCCCACCAAACTGTCTCTTCTGACTTCACTTTAGCATCCCTACTCGGAAATGAGCAGGAGTGAGATTCCAGTCTACTTTTCATGGGCACAAAGCTCTGCAGCAGTTCTTGCTTGCCTGGAGATCATGATAAAACCACAGCGCAGTCTACCTGTGTGACTTCTTCCACAAAAGTTCTTGCTAGTAAAACTGGTCTGTTCTGCTGTTTGGTTCACCTCCTCCTGTCTTGTTTTCAAAAGCCAGTGTAAAGGAAACACAGATTCAAACTGGAACATTCAACAAACCTTCCAGCTGCCAAACACACCAGTGGTCTTGTCTCCACAAGTAAGACTAGAGATTTGTTTTGAAATGATGAATAGAGTAATATTGTGAGAGCGGTTCTCAGAATAGCAAAACACTCAGGCTGACTGAAGGGAACACAAGTCAGAATTCATCTATTAATTAGAAATTTTGACATGGAGGGTAGCTTTTTACTCTTGGAACAATTAAATGACCAGCAAGACAGTTGTAATGTGTGCAAGTTTTATTTTTTTTTTTTTAGAAACAACCTTGTAATGTGAACAGACTTTTCGGACCTGTTTGGATATAGTTTGAAAGGTTGTCAGCCTAGTTAAAGACTTTTGCCACGTGTTTATAGGGGTCTACCCTTGCCTCTCAGTGTCATGGGGAGAGCCTTGGCTCATATTTGTGTCAGCTCCCAGATGCTCCAAGAAGCAAGGATTATTCCCCACCCCTGCCAAAGCTGAGATGAATTTAGCATAAGGTGATGTGTTTCTGGGTTGAGTCCTCTCAGTAAGATAATGCTGATCATCAGGTGTGATTGTATGATAAAAAAATATACTTGGATGATGACAAGCAAAGATTACTCATGATACATGAGTAGAATATTCATCACACCTAACACATAAACATGCATGTCATTCAAGATCCATGGCTTCTTTCATAGCCTTCTGGGTATAGAGAGATTGTGTGATGTACAGTTTAGCTGGAGCTCTGGGATCCTCAAAATCAGAGGAGTTTTATTCCTTCCCTTAGCTGTACTGCACAGGATACAAGTCTAGGAAAAGAAAACTGTCAAGAATTAAAGATACATCCTTAGTTTGTTTTTTTTGTGCAGGTACAACTCAACCATACATCACTTCTTTGAGAGGAAGACAAAAAGCCCTGCAAATATGGTTAATGGTTTAGCAAGTAACACAGAAATGGATGACAACAGCAACTGTGATGCCACAGTGGTGTTACTAAAGAAAGGTAACTGTTCCAGTAAGTCATCCTGTCACTTGCATCATTCTGGGTGTTCTCTTCCTGCTCACACGGCGGGAGCTGCTGCTCTCTTGTAAAATAGGAGGGGGTAGGTGGTCCTTTTGGAACCCCTCTCCCAGATGGGGGACACGGGGTGGTGATCCCAGCCACCACAACCTATGCCACTGGAGTTGGCCGAGGCCTCTTGTGGCTAATTCTTGCTGCTGGACAAGTTGCTTGGCTGCCAGGACTTCTTCAGGCCCAGTGGCTGCTTATCCAGCCTGTTACAGCCATTTTAATTCCTCCTGTACTGTTACTTTGCACCGAAGTTGCCCATTTACAGCATGTCCAGTTAAAATTAACTCCACTCCAAAGGGACATCAACTGAGCAAGAAAAAATACCCTACATAGACCAGTGGACACTTATCCCCTGTGAAGGAAGGGTGAGGACTGTGTGTGAGTCCGGGTACTGTGCTCTTACTGCACATGCTGGGTTTACCATGCCCAGCTTTTCCATGTAAGTGGTCTTTAGGGGTATTTCACTTTGGCTGAAATATGTTCCAGTTTGACTTTAGTCATGATCATGTATAAAAATGGTTGTATTTCTTCAGCTTAAAAAAAATTCCCCCATCCCATAGCTCAGCAACAGTTGTTCAATGTCTGCATTTGCAAGGAAGTCCTAAACTGTATTCACAGTGGATTTATTTTGTCTTTAAAACAGTCAACAAGCATGTGCAGTATCTGCTTGGGATGTACATGTATCTGTTCTCAGGAATAATGTCTCCTGTTTTCCTGAGGCACTGACTTACCCTGAGAAGAAGCTCCAACTTGTCAAAATTAGTCCTGGTCTCTGACCACAGATGGGCTGCCTTTTTTGTTTAGCTAGTCTATCAAAATTCCCAACCAACCAACCAACCAAAAATAGGTCTCTTTTCCTGCAAATGGAGCTTGAGAGGCATAGTTTGTATACAATAAGCAGTTAAGCATGAAATGTAGTGGGGTTTATTTGCACTAGCAAACGAGTCTGCCAGCTCTCAGTTTACAGGCCTGTTTCAGAGTGAAGGTTGTCAGCAGTGCTGTGCACTCTGATTTGGGGAAGCTGCTTTTTTGGGGATGGCTCTCTGTCACCTGGAGTTCTCCATAGCAGAACTATGCTGGCACTTCTGTACCAGGAAAGCTGGACTGGGAAAACTCAGTGAGCACAATCTCAGACCTTGCACATCCAACTTTTTACCCAGTGGCCTCAGGTTAGTTCTGATTGTGGGATTTGGTTTAAATGTTCCCCCAATGGGTTTTTTGCATACTCTGCTATTACCTTTTGATTTGGACATTTGTGGTTACTCACACTGGCCAAGGAAGGAAGACGAAAGGATTGCTTCATCTTCTTGCAGATTGTTCCTGTATTTCCTTGGGACTGGGCCATGGGAGACCTGAAGAGGCAAGTGGTGCTGCTTTGCGTCCCAGCCTGAGATACAGGGCCACCAACAGCACCTGTTGCAATTGGATGCCTGGGAGTTTCAGGCACTGTTTGTCTTCTGAGGCCTTTTCTGAAACCTTTTCTGAACAGAGGACCAAAAAGTCTGAAACAGAAAGGTTTCTGTGTTTGCAGTTTTTCCAGGTGCCATTCAACAAGTGCCAGTTGGAAAGACTCACAAGGAAAAGCTGTGTGGTTGGCTTTTGTTGTTGGTTTGCATTTTTATTTTTTTAATACAGAGGACCTCACATATCTATCCTATTCCATGGAAGCCTCAGTAGGAAAAAAAATTAACATAAAGGCCGAGGAGATAGTCTTCTGTAAGACTAACAGTGATATTTAAAAATGGTAATGGCACAAAGCATTTGCCAGTGTTTAACACTGGTTTTAATAAACCTGTGCAGAAGTGTGTTGGATAAGGCCTCAGGTTTCCCTGCTGCCAAGTCCCAGTCCTGGCACAGAATTCACAGCTCAAGGTGTCATCTAGGTGATGGAAAGATGAACCTCAGAGGCAGTGGGCATCGGCACTGTGCTCCAGGTGGAGCATGATCAGGGACCTGCCTCTGTCTCCCTGTCCCTTTGCTCCCACACTGTGGATTGCTCTGGCACATGAATTTGCTGCTGGATTTGGTGGCAGTTCCCAGCCATGAGCTGCAAGCCCAGAGTGCAGGAACATTCTTTTCATTTGTGTTGGTACCTTGAAAGAGCACATTTAGCGGTGGATGAGGACAATACCCTCACAGAAATGCAGGTTGCAACTGGAAGTAAGTGCCTTGGTGGGATAGCTGCTGTTGAAGCAGTGGTGTGCCTAACACAGGCCTGTGATGAACTGTGCAGAGCAGATTTAATTCTCTGTAAGGAGCTTAACTGGTCATACTATGTTGACAATTTACTTAAAAACAGGAACATAAGATGTCTAGAAGGCAGAAATTAAGGACAGATGAGGCCTATTTTGGATGATGTAGCTGAAGGAATGGTTCTTACAGAGAACTTCTGGAACCCATGGGTTCATTCTTCTTAGAGCCACATAGAGCAGAGGGAGAGACTGCTGGAAGAAGGCCTCAATTTGTTTTTGTTCCTTGGCTGCAGGAAATTTCCACCGTAAAGCCTCTGTGATCATGGTTGATGAGCTGCTCTCTGCCTACCCACACCAGCTTTCATTTTCCGAGGCTGGGCTCCGGATCATGATAACCAGCCATTTCCCTCCCAAAACACGTCTCTCCATGGCCAGCCGCATGTTAATCAATGAGGTGTGTCTTTTATCTCCCCCACCTGTCTTACTCCTTCTGAATTTGCATTTTCCTGTAGCAGTGTTTAGCTTGAAATGCAACTGGTGTTTCTTCTGGATCCCTGATAGTGCTCTCCCAAGTTTTATCCTTCTGCCACTGACTTCACTGAACATGCCTTGCTCTCTGTGCCACTGGAGATTTTTGCAGGGGTTTTTATGCAGTTATGTTACTGCGTAACATAACTATGTAGCTGTAGCTCACAGGAGGTGCCCTCTGCATAGATTTTTTAAATAATATGGTACTACCCCAAGACAGCGCTTAGCATGTCGCTGGTCTTGGAGTACTCCTGGAGTCAATTCCACAGACACTGGACCTTCACTTGTAAAAGTTGTGGGTGTGAGATTTTTCTAGTGGTCTGCAAGCAAGCATCATGTTGTATCTGTTGAAAATCATTCTTTTTGCTTTTAAAGATAATTTTTTAAAAAAATCTACACACCTCTCTTTCTCTGTTCCTCCCTTTTGCTTAAAAACCCTCAAATTTAAAAAAGTCTTACTTTTCAACAAGACTGCCTTTATTTACAGAGACAGAGGCTGATCAACAGCAGGACTTACACCAACGGTGAGTCAGAAGTAGCAATCAAAATACCCATCAAGCACGTGGTGGAGAATGGAACAGGCCCCAGCAATTCTGCTGAGCGTGGTGTGAGCGGCACACAGCGGGATGAGGACGTGGCTGAGGCTAGGAATGAGAATGAGAATGAGGATAACAAGAACAATGAAAACGATGAGGAAGAAGAAGATGATGATGATGATGATGACGATGACCATGAAGGGCCATACACACCTTTTGACCTACCCAGTAAGAAGCTCCTGCTTTTGTGTGGTGTTTGTTTGGATATGCTGGAAAGCATTGCAGGTTGATGTAGGGGGAGAAGTGTCTCTCAGAGCTTCCATCAGCTTTCACTTTGCAGTGAGGCTCCTGGCCACATGTAAAAGAGATGGGGAACTGGGAAGCAGCAGGAACCTCTCAGGGTGCAGACTCCTGAGGTTGGGTATACCTCTGCTGCAGCTCCTGTGTTGGCACTGTGCTGTTGTTACAGTAACAGGGGAGACACGGCAATCTCCACAGTGTGGGTTCTGCCCCCAAAACATGGCTCACCCCCTGGAGAGATGGATCTCTGCTCACTGTGGAGGAAGTTGAGGGTGGCTGGGCTGTTGGCAAGGAGCCTGAGTAAAGATCAGATATGTCCATGGCTAGGACATACCTTTGCTGGGAGGTAAGGTGTGCTCTTACCTCACTTGGACAATGCAGTACTGATGTGGACAAGGCACTAGTGATACTGATGTGAAGCAGAGACACAGGGTGGTCCTGAGTGCCTCTGCTTTGCTGCTGTTCACTAGTCACTGCTACAGTGCTTCTCTCTCTGTATGGAGGGCTTAGAAAGTCAGAGCAGCTGCATGACTCGTGAGGACCTATGTGTGCCTCAGGCTGCTGAGCACTGCACCTGCAGGATGGAGATCTCCTTTTAGACTAGTGCTTCTTACCACATCAGGGCTGTGGTCCTGGTATGATCATAATATATCCCTGTCCTGCCTTTGAGCCACAGTTGCCATAGCTGGCAAGATTTGCTGTGTTGCAGATGAGCTGGAATACTGTAGGGAGTGGTCCTGCCCTTTGCAGGCAAGGTACAATTTTGGGAACTCCTGTTCAGGTCTCACTCAAACAGCATTTCTGTAGTTTGAATGAGGAAAAGACCTGAGCCTTAAAGAGAGTAGTTTAGATGTCCTGTGGACTTTCATAGTATGTGATAGGCTGGCACAGACCTCTAGAGATCTCTGGTTCCAAACCCTGCTCAGAGCAGGTCCTCCTCCAAGCCTGTGTCCAGTTAAGTTTTATTACCTATAAGGATGGACATCCCACAGACTTTTGAATACCTGTTCCAATGTTTGACCACCCGCCCCCCACCTCCCCCACCCCCGACCCCAGTAGGAAAAATGAGAAAATGCACAACTTAATGTACTGTCTGTTCTGAATTTCCCTTATTGGAAGTTGAGTCAATTGGCTTTTGTAATTCCCTTGTGCAAAGAATTTTGTAATTCCCTTGTGAAGGGCCTGCCTCCATCTTTTCTGTACCCTCTCATTAGGTGATTTAAGGTGAATCAGATGTCTTTCTTGGACTTGCATTTTATGTGGTTTTGTAAGAACTTGACTAAAGAGGAGGGGGAGCACATATGGTCTGACCCATAATTTAAACTCTCAGGGAAGGCCTTCATACTCCTGTGCCTGTCTCTGACCTCCTATCTGCCATTACATCATTATCTTCTGAACAAGGAATGTTGGCATAACAGGCTGAGATGTCCCTGACATCTTGTTAGAACATGTTAGCATGTTAATGTTAATTGCATTCTGAAATACAGCAGATGTGTCTTGTGATTGTTTCCCTTTCTTTTGTTGTTTGGCAGCTGGCAAGATAGAAATGTTGAAGTGGGTCTTCACATGGCCCTTGAATTTTGTCCTGTACTTCACAGTGCCCAATTGTAACAAACCCCACTTGGAAAAATGGTTCATGGTCACCTTTGCTTCTTCTACCCTGTGGATTGCAGCTTTTTCTTACATGATGGTGTGGATGGTAGGTACCAAGTAACCCAGAAACCACAGCCTGGGAGAAGCAGCAGAAGGGGGTTTGGCAGTCTAGAGAAATGCATAGAAAGTTCTACACACCTGAATTTTCAGGTGAGAAACCTTAGGTTTGCTTCTATTTCTTTTGGATCTGTTCACACTCAGAGAAGAAAATTAGGGGCCAGTAGCCATGGCCTTTGAGCTTGATTTAGGGCTGGCATTTAATTCAGATTCTTTACCTTGGGCAACAATTACAGCTGCAGCAATGGAACATCTCCTAGTCCTGCAGGGTAGTGTGAGGGGTGCTGAGTGACAATCTGGCCACAACAACTTTTCATTCTCTTGGAGCAAGCAAGCTCAAGAGACATGGAGTTGTGAATGATAACACTTTAAACTTAGCATGAACAATAGCATGACATTCAATCAAATTCCTGCAGAACTAGAAACACAGGGTGGTTTTGTGTCTGCTTAGCTAGTATTTGTATATAATGAGGTTTACAAACTTAATCTAAGATCAGGAGACAGTTACCCAGGGTAGTGAGCGACCATATAGTCTCTTTTCCAGATTAGTATCAGGAAAACTGTGGATGAAATGTATGGAACAAGTAACCTGAGGGAGTACACAGCAGGTGAGTGCTATGCCCTGCCAGTTGAGGAATATACCAAAAAAGCCTGTCACTGCCTCTATTTAAAGGAAGTGTGAGTTTGCACTGAAAGATGCCCTCTGTCTCACAGCATCTTGCAGATTTGAGCCAAGTTGGTCTTGGGTCTTAATTCTTTTAAACAGCTTGACAGTTTATTTCATACTCTCCTTAGGTGACAATCATTGGGTACACTCTGGGAATTCCAGACGTAATCATGGGCATCACTTTCTTGGCAGCAGGAACCAGCGTGCCAGACTGCATGGCCAGCCTTATTGTGGCCAGGCAAGGTGGGTCATTGCAGGGATGGCATCCTGCTATGGAAGTGTGTCCTGACATTCTGCTTCTCTTCAGGTAGCACAGATGTTTCCTCAACAGGAGAATATATAGAGTTCTTTCCACAAACCTGGAATTTAAAGCAAGAACAAAGAATGAAATAAATTTGGCTGCTATTGCAAAGCAGTTAACAAGTTCTCAACAGAAGTGTGAAACAAGTTCTGGCAGTATTGTCAACTTCAAGCCTTCCTCAATAATCACAGTGATTTTCTTAATTTGAATATCAGTGGTATAGAAGTATTTAATGGCATAAGAATCTTTCAGGTCAACTTCCAGCTTTTCGTCTCAGTCGTAAGGACTGGAAGATGCTACTGTTTTTAAGGAAAACAGCTCCCCCATGTTTGTGGCCTGAGCAACAGATGTGTTAAGAGGAAAGACAAGTAGCCAGTACTGCTTTATGGGAGCAAAACCAATGGCTCATCACTGAAATAAGCAGCTGCTGAACAGACAACTCAAAGACGTTTTGCAATCAATCCAATACAGAAGCTCGTGTGTCATGGTCACAGTAAAAGGTCGAAAGTCCCCCTGAATATGGCACCAGAGAACTGGCAGGTCATAGCCAGCACAGCAAGTTCCCTCAGCAGCAGAGGATTAGTGGAGGAGAATTCTCAGATGATCCTGGAACATGGATTAAGCCCCTTTAAGCCTGCTGTCCTTGTATGATGGGGGGGGCAAAGGGAAGAGAGGGAGTGAGGGGCATCTTCCATAAATCTTGGCCTTAATCAGGGAAAATTGCCTGGATTACCTCAGATTAATGCTGCAGGACTTTCCTGAGATACGTCTGAGTGTATGTGGTTTTCATTCCTGCAGGTATGGGGGATATGGCCGTGTCCAACTCCATCGGAAGCAATGTTTTTGATATTTTAATCGGCCTAGGCCTTCCATGGGCTTTGCAGACCCTAGCAGTGAATTATGGATCATACGTAAGTCCTAAATTTGTTTACATCATTGTTACTGTTTATTTATTTATTTATATAGTTATTTATCTAGTTATTTATTTATTTTTAATAAGCCAGTTCAATATAGGGAAAAAAAGAGTCCAAAATTCTATGGATTTTTTTTTTTGAAAAACAAGTAATTTTCTCATTTATGATATGTGAGAAGTAGAAATTAATTGTCACTGGACTTTTCCCATCCTTTTGAGGACAAGTACTTCCATTTCTTCCTTGAAGACAGAAGTCTGTGCTGAAGTAAGCTACCTTACTAGAGTGCACTGGATTTTCATACTCTTGAATAATATTCCAAGTAAGAATGACCCTATCTTTAATAAGGCAGAGGGGATAAACACACCAGTGAAATATAAAATGTAGATGAGATCTGTAGGGCTTTTGCTAAGAAAAATTCTGGCATTACTAAACTGTTAACACACTGCAAAGTGAAGGAAACTGTTAAATAATTGGATGTTTCAGAGCATGACAATCAGCAGGAAACTCTGCAGAGCTTTCCTGTATAAGACAAAACTACCAAACACCAATGAACTTATCTTTTACTTCCTAAGTGATAAAAGAGCCAACCTCTGCCCCAGAGTTGCTGCAAGGTTCCTTCTGAGAAGTAAAAGCAGGAGATGCCACAGAGTTCTAGAGGGAAGTTGCTGTGGTGATTGCTGTTACCTGGACACCACTCAGACAATAGTGTAGGGCAGAGAGAGGACTGTTGATTACAGTCACTGAGTGAATGCAAAGGTAAAAGGCGGGAGAATGCCAGAACTGCTGAGCTTGACAAGTTCCTCTGGAGACTGTCTAGTCCCCAGCCCTCTGCTCAAAGCTGGGTCAGCTAGAGCAGAATGCTTAGGACCTTGTCCTGTTTGGTCTTGAGTACATCCAAGGATGGAGTCTGCACAGCCACTCTCAGCAGTCTGCTTTGTTTTTTAACCACTCTCAACACTCAAAAGCATTCTTATATTATAATGGGATTTCTGTATTTAAAATTGTGTGGTTCCTCTTGTCCTTTCAATGAATAACACTCAGAAGAGTCTGGCTGCACCTTCTCTGTGTTCTCCCATCAGTTATTTATGCACATGGCTAAGATTCCCCCTGAATCTTCTCTTCTCTAGGCTGAACAGTCACAGCTCTTTGAGCCTCTCTGTATGTCAGATGCTGCCATCCCTTAAATCTTCCTTGTGGTCCTTTACTGGACTTGCTCCAAGAAGTGCATATCTTCCTTGTATTGAGGAGCACAGAACTGGATCAAACACTTCAGATGTTAGCAGAGAAGGATCATCTTTCTCTCCCTACTGGTAACAATTCTCCTGATGTCACTCAGGATGCTGTTGATGGCACAGGGGTGCATTGTTCACTTCAGCTTGGTGTTCACCAAGATCAACAGATCTTTCTTGGCCACGCTGCTTTCCAGCTGGTCAGCCCCATGCTGATATGTGGAGTTATTCCTTCCCAAGTGGAGGGCTTTTCATTTCCCTTTGTGGATATTAATGAGTTTGCTGCCTGCACATTTTTACAGCCTGTCCAGCTCCCTCTGTATGGCAGCACAGTCCTCCAGAGCATAAGCCACCTTCCTTGGTTTTCTGTGGGCTGTGAACTTGCTGAGCCTGCTCTCTCCCCATCATCCAGTTCATTAAAAAAGACACTAAGCAGTCCTGACCCCTGGGATAAGGCTCTAGTGACTGGCCCCCAGCTGGGCTTGGAGCACGGTGCTTTGGCTGCTTATCAGGCCATTCCACTGTCCACTTTTCTAAGCTGTTCTTCCTCTGTTTGTCTCCGAGGATGTTTGAGAGAATGCCAGAAGCCTTGCCAAAGTCAACATAAACAATGTCACACAACAAGTCCCCCTCATCATACAAGACTGTCAAGCAGGGTCAGCGGGATTTCCCCTCCATAAATTAACATGTCTTGTCCTTTGTATATTTAGAAGTGGTTCACATGATCATGTATTCCATCATCTTCCCAGGGATCAAGGTCAGGCTGACCAGCCTTTAGTTCCTCAGATCTTCCCTCTTCTTGAATATAGGAGTGCCACAAGGAAGCAGTGCTGTAGGAATAAAATCCCTTTCTTTAATGAGCAATTTATCTGTAGCTCATCTATATTTTTGTGAAAAAAAGATGAAAACAAGTGGCTGAACAGAAGCAGCCAGCTTTCATGGAGGCATAACAGTATCATTACTGTTTTGCATACCCATGTCCACTGTACATTGTTAGAAAAAGTAGTCGTGGAAACTGCCTCACAATTAGCAAAAGAGAGTTTTCACTTGCTTTTCTTGGATTTCTCTCCAAATTCTTGGTAATTGGACTTTAAAACAAAGCAAATCTGCTTTTGCTACCCAGTTATTAGTAATTAATTTTTAAAGTATTACAATGTTGCTAGCAAAGGCTGGCATTAGCTCGGTCAGGTGTACTTTGGTGACAGTACCTAGAGCTCCAAGACACTGGTTGTTATTCCAGGAGTGTGGCCATCATCCCTGGCACCCAGGTCAGAGGGGGCAGCAGACGTGGAGCTCCAGTTCCTGAGGTCTGTCAGGCTGAGCCTTGGGCTGCTTGCATGAGCAGGCCCTGCTAACTGCACTGAGGCTCCTGGGCTCAGGCCAGCCTGGTTGTCCACTGATGAGTATCACTGTGAGTTGAAAGTACTAGGTGATTTCTGAGCTAATAGTACAGGATTTAGTACTGTTCCTTTGGTGTTTGGCAGGACCCAAATGTGTCTCTGTAGTATCTCCTCCAACAGGGGAACTCCTCAAAGCAGTCTTTATAAGTGGCTTCACGTGGAATTGGGACTTGTTTAAACAAGCTTACTCCATGGGCTAGTGTCTGAGTGGGGAAAAGGCAGCTCTGTGATCTAACAGAATGAATCAGGAAAAGAGCAAGGGGGGACCTGTCAGAGAGACGAATGGACTTGCTGGATTTACAGTAGGTGAATGTCAGAACTGGAAATAAGCTGTGAATCCCGGGAGACACATCCTGATGCTGGGTTGCTAAATCGCATTTTGATTGAGCGCCTCTCTTCTGACTGCTGCTTCCCCAGCCCCATTGTCAGCTTAGTATTTATTTTATTTATATTAGTATTTATATATGCTTCAGCTTAGTATTTATTTTATTCTGGCTTCCTTATTACAGGAAGGGAGAGCAAAACCATCTCATGATTCTCAGGCTACATCTTGGAAGCATCTGTCACCTGGTCTAGAGAAGGAGGTTTTCTTCCTTGTTCCTGCTTTAATGAGACATCTTCCCCTAGGGGTGTGGTTACACTGCAAGTCCTCACCCTTTGCCTTCAGCTCAAGTGTCAGTTCCAAAATTCCTGGCTCGGACCAAGCTACCGACCCTTTTTCCATGAAAAGGCAGATCTATTCAGGATTAAACTTTCCACATCAGATCTCTTCTGTTCTTACAACACCAAGTCTTTAACCCAACCATATATTTATTATTTCAAGGGTCCTTGAAGGGTTTCTGAACACTCATTTGTGTCCGGGTACTAACTCTGCCTTCCTCTGCTTCCCACTGGTACTTCCATCTCCACTGCTCACTTGGCCACCCTCTTGCAGCTGCTCTTGTCTTCTGTTATGTACACAGCTAATCTGGCAGGCCAGCAGGGCTTTTGGAGGAAAAGCAGCATCCCTCTGGACCTTGAGAGTCCTTTGACATATTCACTCTCTCCTCTCTTCCAGCATCAAGTCCTGGACACTTTGCTGACTCTGTAATCCAGTAAATATCATTCCCCAGTGCACCTGGTGTACGCAGAGTGGAAGGATGTTTGCTCCTTATCTTCTATCCAGTTGCTTTCCTCTGGAATATTTTTTTGCATGTAAACCAGGCATCATCCAGCAGTATTTTAGAGAACAGGAATTTTAGCCTAAGGATAAAGAGCCAGGTTGATTTGATCACATCAGCATTTGGGAGTATAATCATGTCAGTGCAGTTTGCTCCTTTGCCTGATAACTTCAGGCAGTTTCAGCAAAATTTGACAGTACATTAGAAGTCTGAGAGACCTGATATTCCTTCCAAGCAAACAAGCAGCTTGAGTATTGCAGGAATAATCCCAGTGCAATCGTATTTATGCATCAGAGAGTCCAGAAGGAAGCAAATGCTTGCAAAGCACACATGGAGATACGAAGCCTCACTGCTTTGCTCCTCGCTGACCAGTTGATTTTCACTGTTAAATTCCAAGGCACTGGGGTGAATGGTATGTTAGGACAAAGCTGGCTCCCTGTCTTTGTGGCAGAGTTATTATTGGGATGATTATACTGTAGTAGAGCAAAAATGTCCCTGCCAATCCTCCTAGCATTACAGGAGGTCTCTCCAGCTATAGCTCCTGCATGATACTCTGAATAGCGTACCCACTGCAAAATGAATTTTGTGATACGGAGCAAAACAGGGACACTTTCTTAGGAGTCTAAAAACAGGTTTAAGAAGGAAATTCCATTTAGACATGCAGCAATGCATCAGTGTTTGAAGTTCCAGTTTGCTTAGACCGCTGTCTCATGGCAAGACCTCAGGAATGCAGGATTTAGGCAGAATTTCCACTGTCAGGCAGAGACACTGAAGGAGAAGAATACTCAGACATACAGAGGACCCGCAGCTTTTTCAGCTGAGGAACTGGAAACAAAGCATAGCCCTTCTGAAATTCTTACTGGGGTAATTTCTGTCATATTAAGGCCCTGAAGCAAAACCAGTGTGGGTTTTGGCAATAGCTCCTTGTTTTCCTTTAAGCAGCTGCCAGAAAAGAACTTAAGAATAGAATAACTTTTATTTCCATTGTTTTTCCTCTGCTGTTTAGCTTCAGCCTTGGTTACCACAGCAGCATGGGAATGACTGGAGCTGGTGGCAGCCTCTTTGCATTTGCTGCACACCAGCTGGGAGGTGGCCCCCCTCAAACTCTGACAGAGGAGGCTGTGAATGTGCAAACCTTCTGTGCATGATCAGCCAGAACAGCATTCTTCTGCCTTGCTTCAGCCCCTACACACAAACCAGTCCTCAAAGGGCAGTTTGGGAATATTGATTTTTACTCCTTGCAGTATGAGGGAGAGATTCTTCTGCAGCCTGTTTTCTCTTGAGGAAGAGGTATTTCCTATTGTTAAATGAGCAGGGGACTGGACTTTTCATTATACAATTAAAAGGACTCCAGCTGAGATTCTTTTTCTGGTCTTTGCCAAAACCTGAAATTATCTCCTCCCTTACTGTGAGTTTTGGATGTTTTGCTGCCCTTGTTTTCCCTGAACTTGGACATTTTCACATATCCCAAGGAAATGTATTCTATTGCCTCTTACAGGAAATGCCACTTGTCTCATGAGAGGGCTGCTTGACTGATTTCTGCCCTAATTTGACAGATCAAGGACACACTTTTCTTAAGCTTTTGTTTCAAATTTCAGAGGCTTCTGGGCTTCTGTGCTCATAGCCAAAAGTCATGATAAGAAATGGGGTAGGCTGGTAATTACCACAGGAATGGAATCAGTTAAATCTGTATTTCCAGAGCTGTAGACTCATGGGAAATTTGTGAAACAGCAGTGGGTAGTCAAGAGTCAAATTCAGGAAAAGAAAGGGTTTGTCAGGAAGGTCATTTGGCTAAACTAGATACACATTACAGCTGGAATTTCTGGAAGAAAAAGTGCAACTGTTTGAGTAAAAAAAATATTCCTGGTGATCTCAAAGTACTGGAAAAGGTGTGAAGAATTCCAGATGCTTCTACTGAGGCTCAGGAGGTGATGTATGCATGGCATCTCCCTGCCATGGAACAGGTAGAAAAGGGATGGAAAAGGACAGAAATCACATGTGAAAAGGGCTATAAAACAATTGAAAAGCAAATAGGAAATAACAGAAAGACAGTTGGAAAAATGGACATTGATGTAAGCCTGTTCCCAAAGCACATTTTCCTTGAGGTGAGTGGGAGATGGATTCCATAGATGGATGCCTGGTGTAACTCCAAATGAACTGGAATTGCAGTGCTGTAGGGTTACCCTGTGCACACCAACATTCCCATGTATTTGACTTGTAGGGAGCACTGCAGGGCTTGGGTAGGGGCCTGCACAAGGCATAGCTCAGCTGGCACAAGTGGCCAGGCTCACCCCAGCAGCCTCTGGCACATGGGGAGAGTGGAAGCATCCTTCAGGTAAACAGAGAAGTATAGTGAGAGGAGCCGGGCATATGTGAACCATGGGGATTCAGCCTCATTTAGATTACACTCTCTCAAAACTCTTCAGCAGCACTGTATAAAAACCACCCATGGTTCTGTAGGCTGACTTTCTGAAGTAGATACATGCCTGTTAAAAAATGTGGCAGGGCTGCCAGCAACTTTCTTGTTATTTAGGTTCATAGCTCTCTGCTTTGCCCAGCAGTGGGACCTGGGCTAGATACCAGGCCAAGAATGTGGCTGGTCAAACCCAAGCTAAGAACTGTTAACCTGGAGTGAAACTCCAGTGTTTTGGTGCAGTGACCCTGTGAGGGGAACTTGGTGTTCATGCCGCAGAAGGGGTTGCCGCATTTACTTGGCCCACGTAGGAACGGTATGATGTATGTGGCTCTTACATTGGTAAAGCTACTGTAAATAATTAGCATACATTTTCTGCTTTTAAATTATCTCTAATAGCATCTTTTATTCCCCTAAATGACCTCCAAGGAAGAGCCTTGCAGATAGTCTGAAGAAAGCAGCACCAAACATCTCTTTTTTGAAAGCACTGTCCTCAGCAAATTAGACACAGAGGCCTTTGGAATGCTCTGCTGGTTTTATGGAGCATGAAATTGTAACTGAGAAGCATCATTAGGGTTAAATTTTTGCACTTTAGGTTAAATTCAGACATTTTCCATGGTAAAATAATTCCATCTTCCTAATTTGCTGCCTTTTCCTGTAGATCCCTTTCCAATTGATACATTTTATACTGACAGTTGTTACAAATACTTGCAGTAGTCAAACAAAATTCCTGACCAAAATCCAGACAGGAATTTATTGTAATTTATTATCTCTTTCCCAGCCAGCTGCTGTTCATTTGGGATATAGCAGGGAAGGTGATTTAAATGTGTGTTTTAGTGCACAGAGTTAGTGTAGGGCTTTTTTAAACTTTATAATAATGGAAATGCAGATTAACTGTTACATGTGGGCTATTATGATGGGTGCAAGCAAGAGAGGAGGAGTGGATGCACAGGAATGACTGAAGATGAGCAGGCTGGTCCATCTCTGAAGTTTACATTAGCAGAACGATCATGGCATTTTTCATCTTCAGTTATGCAGACAGTCCCAAAATCAGTCTTCATGCCCTGAAGCAATCCAAATCCTCCATTTCTTTGAGCAGTCTGATGAAAATATTGTTTTAACCGTAATGGCCATAGGAACGTTATAGTCCTGCTGTCCATCCATACCCTTACAGCACATTCATCCCACAAAATCCTTCAGTAGCTTTCAGACAAAATGATCATCAGGGTTGAAGCCTTTTTTATGGTGTCAACTATTAGCAGGGAAGGAAAGTGTGCCATTTGTGTGAGCTGGTATTTTAACATGTGTAAAGGGAACAGCAAAGCTCAGGCAGGACGGATTGGCTTAGAAGATCCTGGGTGTGCCGAGTGCAGTGCAGGCTGAGAGTTCCCAAGTGTCAGGACTGATCATCCTTTCTGACTCTACAGGTCAGACTCTCCCCTCAGTGGCCCCTGGGGAGTGAACCTAAATAATTACTCTGGATTTAGGAGCAATAGTAGGGTGAAAAGGATTTCCTGGCTGTGGTGCAAAATGATACAAGTGTATCTGTATTCCTGCATTCTTAAAACTGTAGTGCTGCTTGACAACATTAGCAATACCCACTTCACTTGCAAATGGAATTCTTTATAATCTAACTAGAAGGATGGGAGCACTGAGAAGCCAACCTTTCCTAGAAGGATGTCCCCTCCACACAGTAGCTCCTGGAGAAGTGCCTTGAGAGACTCCACTGAGTGCTCCCCTCATGATGCTGCAGGTGATGCTGTTTGAGGTCATATAAAAATGCCCAAAAGGATAATGTTTAAGTTCCCCAAGAGAAGGATGGAAAATCAAGGATAAGTGTGATGCTAGCTGAGGAGCAGGATTGGAGAAATGGCTTTACTTCCTGTAGACTTCCTTTGTAACATTAGGTTTATGTCTCACAAAAATCACATTTTAAAAAGTATTTAGGCCTTAATGATACAGGTGATTTCCTTAGGTTATGCTCAAAGCCTCTAAAAGTGGCAGTTTAATAACTTCACAGCTTTGTGGACCTGCATCTTGGTTCTTCTCTTGGACAGTGACTGTAACTGGGGCTGTGCCATGAAGACATCTTGCACCAGAGCCTGTGAGGTGCCTGGTACACAGGCCTGCAGGCAGTAAGTTGTCTCCTTGTCTGATATGCCTCAGTGCTAAATCATGCCCAGCCTATGTTAGTGTGCCATGATGTATTGATACAGAAAATTTTTCAGCACCCGAGGCTCTGGTTTTGAGATTACTGACTTGTTCCCTTCACCAAGAGTAGTAAGATTAGGGAAGAATTAATGTGAGAGTGGGGAAGAAATCAGGTGCTTGTGTGTGTCCTTGTTTATTTTCCCCCATTGTGAAGCATTAATTGTGACTGACTGCAAAATTTCCTTTCCCTGGTTGTTCTTACAGGACTCATATAGGAGTTAGAAAATGTCATTGTATAATAGTACAAGGGATGGCAAAGCTCACATGGAAGTGGAACACTGTGAAATGTTGTCAGGTCCTAAGGACACTCCACTAATAATACTCCTTCTTTGGCAAAATAGGGAGTAGGCAAAGTTATATGCAATGTAATGGTCTGACTTGGCATTTACAGCTTGCAAGCCACTCTTTAGCAGCTCATCAGTTCAGCAGCTCAGTTTAGGATTATGGAAATATAAGCACAGAGGAATATTGTTTGAAATTGTGAGATGGTTTGATAAATTTCCTTCTTTTACAGATTCGGTTAAACAGCAGAGGACTTATATATTCTGTTGGTCTCTTGCTGGCATCAGTTTTTGTCACAGTATGTATATAGTCTTTTGTTCTTCTTTTCCAAAAGAGGGATTTTTGTAGACATTTTCTTCACCTGATCCTTTCTCACCTCCAGCTGAAATAGTGGTTGCAAACTCTGTTGTTGTGGGATAGGGGTGCTCCCTGTTTGAAAAGCTTCCCAAGGTCTTGATTCGGCTCTTTGCAGGAGCTCTCACTCCCGTGGGATGACACTCCTGCCTGTGTGTTTTCCATGGGATGAACCTGGGAGAGCCATTAGTAATCACTAGGAATTTCTATGTTAGGGCTGAACCAGGGCCCTTGATGCATGATGAGATCCATTGTTCCTGTGAGACAAGCAGACAAAATGCTGAGCAGGTTGCTTGGCCCTCTCTAGGATCCTTCTGAAATACAACACACTCCAGAAAAAACAGTGCCTGACAATGTTTCTGTTGAAATCAGTCCTTGGTGTTCCCTGACCTTTCCCAGAAATTATAGAAGAGGAATGATGTGGCGTCTTCCAAATCTTGAGATGGGAGGTGAATCCTGTGCAATGCACAACAACACAATTCCCACATACACAAGATGTTAATCTTTGGTGGGAGCAAACTATGCAAAGTGAAGCAGTCTTAGACTGTGTAGCTCTAGGTTGGGATGCAGAGGAGCACATGAAGCATTTTGAGTTTAAAAAAAAAAAGGAACCTGGCCTTTAAATCCATTTCTGATTGAATTAAATGGGATTGTTCTTGCCAAAATTAAATTCACTGCAGAAACCTAAGGTGAGGGAGGTGATGTAAGTCAGGGTGGCTTTTGTGACTGCTGCTCTGATTTACTTGAGCTGTGGTTTTCAGCTCACTTGGTGCAGTTTGTGATTGCTTCCAACTAATCATCATCAGTAAGGGGACTTTCTCTTTTGGCTCCTGCAGCTGAGGAGGGGATTTACCACTTTATTCAAAATGTTCCTGCTGTGGTGGCTTACTCTGTGTTTATTGTAGGTTTTTGGTGTCCACATGAACAAATGGAAACTGGATAAGAAGCTAGGGTGTGTGTGCCTTTCCCTTTACGGCATCTTCCTGTGTTTCTCCATCATGACAGAATTCAATGTTTTCACTTTTGTGAACTTGCCAATGTGCAGAGATCACTAACGCAGGTGGCAGACTGTCGGGAGGAGCTTCATTCTTACCTGTGCAATACAAGCCACGGCTGGCATTTCCTGGATGCAGTGCACCTCCAAGTCGTGACCTATATCCTGTTCACTGTTCATAGGACCCATGGCCCCATCTAGGTTTGCCCTCTCTCTGGCCCCCACAACCTGGAGCAATCCTTCATCGATGTGAAGAGCTTTTTTCAACATCCATGTGATTTCCTTGCTCAGTTTTTGAACAGTGTGACTGAGACTCAAGATGAACTGGCTGTTAACTGGTGTTAAGCCAGTCAAACTGGTCTGCTACAATTCCTTCTTTTTAAGTTATTTGATGGAAGACGAATTAATTTATGACTTAAGACTATTGCTACAATGCAGGAGAGAGTACGTCATATGGAGATTGACTTTCAAGGAGAATCATGGGAATTTTTTTTGGTTGTGGGGAGTGGTTTTTGTTTGTTTTTAGCTTTTAGTTTTGGGTTGGCAGGTTTTTTTGTTTGTTTGGGAGTGGGGGTGTTACTTTTGTTTTTTTTTTTTTACTTGTCAGAGATCAACATCTTCTCTTGCATCTTCTCCCTCTGGGTCTCCTGTAACAATCCAAAGGCCACAGGGCAGTGTAAAATGGAAATGCAATTCAAGGTACTTGGCATAAGAATGGATAAAAGAAGATTATCAAAGAAAAAACTGATGACTTTTTACTATAAATAGTTAACCTTGTACACGTCTGTTAAAGAATGCAAGCTGAATGTGGATTCAAAGGGTAAACACTGCTACCATTTTACTATGAATGTTGCAGTTTTATTACAAGGGTGTTTGTTATTTCCAAGCAATAGTTTGATTGCCAGCCCAGAAGGGCTACCAAGGACGTGTCCTGGTTTTTAATGGTGTGCACATGGAAATGGAAGGCCAGAACTTTCTCTGCTTCATCAGATTTCTTGTTTTGGGGGGATTCAATAGTTTACGCCTTACTCATTCTGAGAAGGACATAAGTACATGTGAAAGCTTTTCTAAGTGAGTTACAGACACTGGTTGCTTTAAGAGGAAAGAGGCATATTTTGCACAGACATGGTTACTGAAGTTATAATTTGCCATTCTTTCAAGTATACACTGGACCTGGCCTGATATTTTTCATCTTAAGCAGTTGAACTTATCTGATAACAGATCATGTGGATTCATCACCTCTCCTTTTGGGAGGGAGGAAGACATAGACAGAGATGACACATTTTAAAATGTGGAATATCTTCAATGCAGACTCTCACAGATCTTAAGTTATTGTGAAAGTTTAGCACTTCATTGTTCCAATATCCCTGTTAGATTTTGTATAATATATTAATATGCAGGCAGATTCCACCCCCGAGAAACACCATCACTGCTTCATTTGTATGTATTGATACTGTGCATTCTTGCCACTGCGGCTCTTGTATTTACTTTAAGCACTGATCACTTCTGATCCTCTTGTATATGTTCTGCTATGAAATGTATTAAGAAACTACCAGCTAGGTGAATGTTTTTGTGTATGGTACAAACAGTGGCAGATAATAGTAAAGGTACAGCAAACTCTACATAACAGAAAGAAAGGAAAAACCCAAAACACCAAGCCCTAAACTATAGAAGGAAAAGAAAGCGCTCCAGTTTAAAAGAAAAAAGAAGAGAGCCACATTTTGTTCACGGATGAAAATCCAATTTTTTTTTCATTTGCACTTTTGGAATTGATCTTTTCAATCTGATTTTCTTTGGGCAAAATGTTGTAAATGAAAATATTTACACCCTGTGGTTTCCTTTCAGCCCAGTAGCTGGTTTTCTTTGTTTGTTACACCAAACACGTGGAGGTGCTGATAGCTCTTGCACTGTGTGTGGCATCAAAGTCCTGTGGAAAAAGCCTCGTCCCACTGGCCTTGCTTGGGGAACAAAATGTGTCGGTGGATCCCTGGCAAGAAGAAGAAAGGGTCCAGAGACAGACAGAGAGTGGATGACATGCCTGCATCGCCAGTTTTCATCCTGGAAAGCAATTGTGTTGCTGTTTGTTGAGCTCTGCAGCTGAGGTTTGAGCAGCCTTCTCATACCTGTGCCCACGGGACATCCTCTTGCGTTAGGAAGCCCACCGTACCTTCCTGTTGCTGGGTTTTTGTTTCTTTTATTGTTGTTGTTAATGAGATGAATAATAATAATAATAGCAATCGCTAAAATCCTAAAATACTTCTATAAGTCAAATTATGTTTGCAACAATGTGGCACATGTCACTAAAGCCACCCCACAAACATGCAGCTTCACTTCATAGCGAGATGCAGTTGCTCCTATGCAGAGTGTGTCCTTGCTGATAAGGGGAAGGAAAAAAAGAAGATTCATATCAGGGCCTGTTATTCCTTCTATTTTGAATATTTTTACTGCTGCTCCAATGGAGCCAGTTGGATCTATTTCTGCGAAATAGCCATTAACTATCCCACAGCACAAGAACTACACATGTATTTCTTAGGAACTTTTCCTACTGGTGTGCATTAAATACTGTAGTTTTTGTAGTTTTGTGTTGTGTGTAAAGCCTGAAATACCTTGCTTTGATACTTGTATGTGTTGCCAGAATGTTCTGCAAGCAGCTTGTTCTGAGCGGAAGCAAAAAGTACCTTGAACTGCCGTTATCTGTGCTGTAGATGGCTTGATAAGCACATCCTAAAGCAATGCTTTCTGCCAGATGTGCTGATGATTTGCAGTGGAATTGTCAGGTCCAGACCTAGTTTGAAACAGAGCAGACCGACTGAGTGTGCCAGGAGAGAGCTTGCCTCTCATTCTTGTTAGCACAGTCACGGCCTGTGTAGAAGGCCCCAGAGCAAAAAACCAGCAATTTTTGGCATCCTTCCTGTATGCTATCTCCAAAAGTGGCATAGACAGTTCTATTCTGTTGCAGGGCATACTCAGAGCTTTACTGGGCCTTACAGAGGACTGAGTCTCCCAGGAGTTCTCTCCTCCCAGGGAGGTCAGACTCTGGAGGGTAGCCAGTGCCTGGCTCTGCTTTGCCTGTGGCTCTGCTTTACCTGTGGCTGCATGAGCTGCAAGCTGTCACCGCATGCAGGGCCTCAGGAGCCAGCCAGGCTGGCGCCACCACTGGGGTTGCAGTGGCTGCTTGGGGGTGGAAAGAGGGAGTGGAGGGGCTCTGAGGCTCAGGGTTGAGGGGCTGCAGGGAGCCACTGGAGAAGCTGGGTTGTGTTGGGCATTTTTAGTATGACTGTGATTAATTTGCAATTATCATCTTCTGAAAGCAAGGGTCACCTTCACATCTGAGGATGCTCTGGCTCTTGGACCAGTCAATTGGTTTTGTTTCCATTCCTAGCAATTTCAGACAATCTTCAATTAGTATTTCAAAGGGAGATTAAAGAGCCTTTTTCTCCATGGAGAGGCTTCACTGCAGTTCTTACTTTGACTTAAATATGTGACCCTTGGCTGGCTTCATATCTGTTTGACATGGATGGCCTTCCTCTGACAGTGGTTCAAAGGCAGAATGACAGGAGAGGGTATGATAAGAGATGGTCTCAAGACATGACAGGAAAACTGCTTTTGTCCCACTAAAGGTGAACTTTTTACTTGCCTTCTTTTTTCCCGTTTTTAAAAATTTTTGGTTTTAAGTGCTATGCTTTTTAATAGACTTTTTCTGTGATAGGAACATCAATATGAAATGTGTGCATGGGATATTTTTTACTTGCATAATTTGTTGGTTTTGCTGTGATGCCACTTGCATGCTTAGTTTCCAGATCTCTGTCCTCAGCTGTGTCACTGAAATCAATTGATTAGCTTTGGATTTGTGATGGTGGTACTTGTGGAGAATGAGATGCAGGACTGGGTTTTTTTCTTGACAAAAAAATCAGGTAGAGCAGCAGTCATGTTTTAGAAAAACGACATTC